CCCCAAAACCCCAAAACCCCAAAACCCCAAAACCCCAAAACCCCATGAGGAAAATAATGATATTATTCGCATAATTAGAATTATTAGCAAGGAAATTAGTATAGAATTAGGATATGTATAGGATATTTAGAATCTCTTAATTCTTCAGTTCTATATATTATTGAGTAGGGACTTGGTCTGTTCGAAGCTCTTAGCAATCTTCTATATATACTCGTCTGTGTGATTAATATTTTGCTTGATCACCTCTCCTCCATTTTTAGTTGTGTCTATTGAAGTCTTTAATTGTTCATATTCTTAGCCTCCATTTAATTGGCATAAGGTGATGCTATTTTTAGCATTGTTTCTATTGCTATGCTAGCCTGGTTACTTTTCAAATTTAACTTGCTGGTCAGCCATCATTTAATTTATCAGATTAGTTTAGGCTACACCGAAGTTAGCTGTTTGCCTAGATTGTTGATAGCCAACAACATTACTCGAGAGTTATTAATACTGATGATAGTTATTTAAATTATTGCTTGCATGATGAGATGGGGATATAGGTGGGTGCTAATCGTTTTCTTTATCAGCTCTGCCTCCTGAAGTTCCTCTTTTCTTAGAATTTGAGCGCATTCCTGACTCCTTTCGATGCATTCTTTCTTTATACTATAGTTCATTACTTTAGATTTAGAATATTATACCTTTTTGAATTTATGCTCGATTTTAATAACTCTTTGCTCGAGACTACCACTCTGAAGGAAAACTTGATCGAATTTATGATCGACAGATTTTTGAAAATTTTCAAATTTATTGTTCATATTCACAATTGACTAAATAATCTTATTAAGGTAGATCTAATCTTACCTCATGAAGTCCGCTAATTAAAGCAGCTAAATCTGAGTTTTACTTTGAGAGCTTCTCCATTTATGAGGTTTAGGAATCTAAAAGTGAAGATTAGAGACCTTTATTTGGACTTGAACCTTATCTATAGGTGTTCTATTAAGGAATTTAATCATAGACCTTTGTTTGCTATTGTTGTTGCTACTACTACTGATTCAAATTAGAGGGTCTTTCATTGTATTTTTAGAAAATTTTTGAATTGTTATGGCTGTCAGTTGATGATCTTTGACTTTACTCGCCACTTTCTTCATTCTGATAATTAGTTGAAGATTTTCTAGACTTCAAGTTCGAATTATCTAATCTATTTTTAAGTTACTGACTAGATACTTTAGTTTAGAGGTCAGGCTCAATATGGTTTGTGTAATTTTTATGCTTTTATTAGCCTCCTGATGGTGAGCCTAATTAATTTGGTCCCTTGCTATATGTACTAACATTTGTAGCAGCTGAATCTCTTTACTGGTTTTGAACTCTTGAGGAAGGGATACTATTACTGTTTACGACTACAATTGATGACTGGAGATTCTAAGATACGGATGAAGTTTAATTTTGTCCTAATGCTTTGCTTATAACTGGAGGTTTACCGGTAAAATGTTTCATCATTATAGATGAAGACTGGCTTCCTGGCTAACTAATATTTTATTGAGTACTCAATGGCTATTATTATCTTGATCTAGATTAATAACTAGTTGTTTATGGTCTTTAGTCATGAAATTTAGGGCTTTTCATGACTGCCTCGTTTTGGTGCTTATCTTCTGAAGGCTCCGAATATTATGATTAAGAGGTAGCGATATTATTTGAATTATGCTAAGTTGTTCTTGGTCTCTAACCAGAGGATTACCTCTCTCTATTTTGAATTTGCTGATTCTACAACTGAGGTTAGGCTTGTTAAAAAAGCTCATTTTTTTAGTAGCTACCCCTCGTATTAGGATTAATAGTAGAGTAAATATCCAACTTGCTATTGTTTTGAGTTCCATTATGCTAATGTTGCTATTATTGTTGCTGTGATTGATAATTTTATTTATCCCTTTGTGCATTTTTTTAATTTTCAGCTTCTTCCTCTTCTTTAAAAGTCACAGACTTAGGTTTCTAGCTGCTGCTTCTTTTGTTTAGAATTGCATTCTTTGATTTTACAAGTGATATGATTTCCAGGATAAATTAAAGTTTTCTCTCACAGTTTCCATAAGCGAAGAACTAGTCGATTGTAAAAGGGGGTTTGTAGGTGAAAAGTTAATTCAAGATTTCATAGATACTTGTGAGGAAATGAAAATCATTCTAAGTTGAAAATTCATAACCCTTCTCATAGATATATTAAGCAACTGGCTTTGAAAATGTTACTAAGAAGAAATTAATGATAGGAAGAAACACGCTTGGATGACCTTTAAAGACTCTATTATAAATTAAATAGGTACATTAAGATTAATGTCTTACTTTTCAGGATCTAAACTGCCTCTATACCTACACTATGATAACTCTTGCTTTAGTTTATCAAGGAGACGAGTAGTATTTGGGTTAGGTCCACTTGAATGAGGGGATAAAGGTTATTAATTTGGCTATGAAGTTTGGTGGGTATTAATAGTGTTTTATTACTGGTGAGAGGAATGATTTTTCATATGATCATTTTTCATTTTCAATATTGCTATATTATAAATTTGAAGTTTAACAATTAAATACAAAGCAAACTATCACAAATACATTGAATCATGGGGTTTTGGGGTTTTGGGGTTTTGGGGTTTCAACTTTGTTGGACTCATCCTTTGTT